ACAATGCTTTAAACTTGAATGTTCTCCCATTGCTTTAAACTAATTCCAATTCCCTTCATCTACAAAGGAGTGCCAAATCCAATCTAGCATTTATGTTATCTTTTGTTTTACCTTTGCCATCCATCACTATGTAGAAAAAATTATGAAACACATTATTCTTAATATGCATGACATCTAAGCTATGACGAATAAAGTTTGTGTGCTAATAAGGTAACTCTCAAAATATACTATTTTTCACCTAATGATGAGTTACATCATCACCTTTCAGCCTTAATTTAAAGCATTTTGTCAAATGTGATGTTCTCTATGCAATCAATTTGTCTCAAATTTTCTTCACCAAAAAATCTCTGAATTAGAGGTTTTTGCTCAACTATTTTGCAAAATTTATCTTTTTATCTCCTAAAAGGATGATGTGGCAAAATTGTCGATGACAATAAAAAAAATAAGGTTTTTTTCCATGAGCTAACTTGAATGATTTTGTACATTCCATACAATAAAAACATGAATATACATCATGGGTACTCCATTCAAATAACATGCAATAAGAAAGAAAGTCACTAATTGTCCATAACAATGTTACCTTTAATAAAAAATGTTGTTTCGTATGAACATTATATTTCTCAACACCATTATTTCACAATATTTGTAACTCATCTATCAAAAACCTTAAGAAAACATTTATATTGTTTGAAGGACTACTCCTTCTCGGGATGACCATGTTAAGGAACAAATATCATTGTTTTGTGCATATCCATAAAGGTAAATGGTATACAATGAGCATAATTGGCCAAATTGAATAAGGTTTTGCGCCTGAACCAAATAGACAAAAATCATCGACACATAAACCTAGTTTCACATTTTGAGGTTTGTTTTGCAAAATATTCATGGGTATGATTGAAATGCTACCAAGCCTTACTGTTAACCTGATGAATGAGCATTCCATCAAGACTTCAATTAAATGCATGCCATATCATAGCCTTTATAGTGGCAAGTAATAGAAAATCTTATAAGGAAACTTCTTTCGTTAATTCCCTTTTGATTTGCTCAGTTTATACTAAGGATGATCACATACTGAACAACAAAGTAAATTGGAATTCTCTTTATAAAACAACATGCAATATTCCCACATAATTATATTTTTACCAAATCAAGGCCAAATTCCACCACTTTCTTCTTTGTTTGATAGAAGTTTTCAAGCAAATTATCCTTTTTTGGAAGCATGCCCTTTGTCATCAACATGAGACGATCAAAACATGTTTCACTCACATTAAACTTTGACTTGCAATTCAAAAGTTATGACATGGCAGATAATTTTGTATGCTTTTCGCAACTTGCCCACAATGGTTCATCAACGTCATTAATCAAAGAATAAAAGTTTGGTGTCCCGAAATTCGACTATTGCTCTTTAAATCTTGATTTATTACCAAAATTAGTATTCAAGTCAAAATTCGAACTTAGGACATCCATAACCATTCTAACATATGGATTTTCTATGTCTACTTGACATATTTGATCAAATTCATCATCTTTACTTCTTGATGATTGACCGTCTTAAACTTTTCCATATGCATACCAATTCATGTAACCAACGAAAAAACCTTTATAATAAAGGTGCTTATGCACATCATCAATTTGATAAAATTGTTGATTTTGACATTTGATGTAAAGACACTTAATTTTATCTCCATTTACAAAGTTCATTTGAGAAAATGCAAAATTCATAAACTCCTCAACTCTTGAGAGGAACTCATCAGTAATAAACACATGTGTATCTAACTGATGATACATGCAAGATCTATCCTTAATCATATTGCATGCCTAATTGATTCAAAAAGATCATAAGCATACATATTTCATACCAATTTCACAGATTCAACACCAATTTCACAATGTTCATAATAATTTCATTTATTTTTCACAAATTTTTAGAAAAGATCATCTTTTCCACAATAATTTCACACCAATTTCACAAATTAATTCAATGCCAATTTCACAATTTCCACAATAATTACTTGCAAATTTAATTTTAGAAATTAATTCAACATCATTTTAGAATTTCCATAATAATTCAACAACAATTTCACAAAATCAATATCAATTTCACAATAATTTTGCACCAATTTCACAAATTTAGCATCAATTTTATAAATTTCACAATAATTCCGTATCAATTACACAATATTCAAAAATGACCCTATAAACCCTAACTTCCTACTACTTTTAAAATTTTTAAATTTAATAGCAAAAGTTATTGCCTAAATGTTGTTGGATCGAAACCAATATATTCTACAAACTTTAACCTGCAAAACTTAAAACAAAATATTGGTTTTTGAAAACATAGGAAAAATTTGCTACAATTAAACAAAAATATTTAACCTAAGTCCATAAATTAATAATAGCATAACATACACAACAAAATAAAAATAAACAAAAAAAATAAACAGAGAAATTGAAAAATACACAACACCCTAAAAGAAGTGTGTTTAGGGCTTATAAACAACTAGTGGAGGTTGAGAGGACTGATTTTGGTGGAGGAGACAGGCTGTGACATTTTCGTCAAAAAAGAAAGAAAAAAGGAGAGAGCATTTTCGGGTTACACTGACAGCAAAGGACAACGTCTCCTACAGTTAACGGTGGGATCTGGTCTAGGCGGTAGTGGGAAGGCATTCGATGGTCAGAGGGCATAGGTTGTGGTTGAAGGTAATTGAGGCATGGCTAATTGGGGCAAAGGGTGAAGGGGTCGAGAGAGGAAGAAGAAGAAAAAAATAAGAGGGAAGAGAGAGAAGGATAGGGGGATTTAAAATTCAACCCAACCCATGGAATATTAACAACAAAATTATTAAAAAATTTCATCTCTAATAGTTATTTAATTCAAATATTTTTAAAAATTAAATAAATAAAATTATTAAAATTATAAAATTAATTTTTTCTAATTTGAAAATGAAATTAATTTTTGGAATATAGAGTTATTAGTGAATAAATAATTCTATCGAGTTTATCCCATTCTTTGGAACCAACTAATAACATCAGAATTTGGGACGAATTCTAATTTCGAAGTTAATTTTAGCCTTTATTAATGAAAATTTGTCAGTAATTTTGTCGCTAAAGAGCCAAATTTTATTTCTCAAATTCCTTCGATATTTCAATGTTAATTTATTGCATTTTAGACTTTTAGCGACAAAAAAAAATCCGTTGCTAAAATTCCATCGTTGATAACGTTTTTTCTTATAGTGAAATAACCTTATAGTGATATAACATAGGCTTATTCACTTATAATTAATAAATTTTAAATTAAAAATTTGTTCAAACATAGTGTCAAAATTAAATATGTTGCTCTTATATATGGACTCTTTCCTTGTAGGTTTATTATGCCTATGTAATACATCCAAATATCATAAGACACAAGTAAAATTTATGTCACATGATAAAGAAAATGTTGCATTTCATATAAATTAGGAATATTTTTTATACAAATAATAACAAAACTTTGTCCATTTATAATTAATGTTAGTTGTGGATACCCATATAAAAAGTTAACAGAATTTTGACATAAAGGAAATTTTAAAAATAAAAATACTTGGACATTAGATTTCAAATGTAGATTGACTTATTTATTGGATAATGGAAAAATGATAACTATGCCTTCTTTCTAAATAAGAATTTATATGTAATTATTCCACTTAGGAGCTTTGGTATATAGATGATCACATTTTTCTTTTTATTTTTATTGGTGGAAGCACGTTCTCATGTTTGATGTGTTAGGATATGTAGGGTTCAACTCCATTGGTTTTGGCCAAATAAAAGGCTTAAAGCTTTTTTTTTTAATCTTTGATTTAAAAGAGCCATACTTATATAAAGCCTTAAACAATAAAATGGGGGTTATTTAATAGAAAAACAGAGAGTGGCGTTGACATCAAGAGAAAGATAAAAAGCCAAGAAAAATAGAGAGAACAAGGAGAAGAAAGAATTGATTGAACGAAAATCGATCCGTGATTCGACTGAACTAAAATTTTGTCAGCATATTTATGATTCAAAGTTTTATATTTTGAACGGTGAATATAAGGTTTAAAGCCCTGTAGAAATAAATTCATAATGTACTTATTGAGTCACCTATTTGATAAAATTTTTCTAATTATCTCTCTAGTTGTTGATTAACTCTAGTTTTAGTTAAAGGTAAACTTTGTATATCTATTATTTGAAAGTGGAGATTTTTTTAGTGGTCCATGATTTTTTTTCTTCTACACTAAAGGGTTTTTCACGTAGTTTTTGGTGTGCTTTATTTTTTCTGCATTGTTTATTATTGATTATTGTCTATTGGTATGAGTTTATTACGATATATTACTTCTGTGTTGTTGTGTTTATTACTTTAAATCCAACATGATGTACTAATTTTTTAAATGGAATTATTGAGAATATTTATAAATTCATTGTACCGAAAACTTGAAATTACCATATTCTATTGTTTTGGGATTTTATTATTTTAATTATATTCTTAGAAATAAAATTGCAAAATTACATTAAATAACTATGATAGATTGGGGTAAATATGGAAATTAAAATTACATTCCCAATAAAGTATTCAGATAATTAAACATAGCACTATTACTTTCTCAATATTTGAATTGACACTTTCTTTTTTTTTTTTTTGGTAAGAAAAGAATCCGATGGTATATAAGTTGTTTAGTTCCCCAAGTCAAGACAAGATGTGCTGTACCTGACAGCTTAAGACAAGTGGTTACAAGTCGTGCATTCGAGATTATCCCAACGATTTCAATAAATGATCACCAACGGGACTTGAACTCAAGACCTCTTCGTTGAGGAAGATGAGCCTAGCCAATTGAACCAACCACTTGTTGGTAATACTTTCTCATCTATAGCAAATGTTGTGATATTATCTTTTTAATAATTTAATACAAATCAACGACCTTTCTAATAAAAATCAAACGCCACCTTAAGCTAAACTCTAGGGAGAAGAATAATTTATACAAATTAGTGGAAAATTACATTTCATGGAAGAACCTTACATATTTTCCAATGCTTCGAAACAAACCCTTGACCAATTCAAAGAGCACTAGTACAGGAATAAAAAGAATGGGCGTCAATTTATTAAAAATAAGAGATGGATCAAACGGAGTTATGACCAGCGCGGCAGTATCGAGACAACAGATTAAGATTGACAGTAGCAGTTCCACGAGAATCGTTATGCCACGACTATTAGTGACAATTTGGAGGAGGCAAACTGTAAATAAGGAGGTTAAAAGAAACGCTAGAAGGTTGAGTGCGAGGAACATAATAAAAGAAGAGTTATACATGACTGAATTACCCCACCGGGTTTCTGATGTGGTAGTAGTGTTTGCCAAATTTTCGGCTGGCCAAACGCCACCTGGCGGGTTGAGTATGGCTTGGTACGTGATTGTTAGAATCAATGCTAACACTACTAACAATGCATTGATTCTTTCAACCGACATAATCCCGATTTTACCAATGACTTGCATTAAAATTAACTCCGAAGTTGTGATGTTTGTCATTAACAACTCGTGGGATGGTAGTTTGCCAAAATCAATCCTCTCATCTGAGGGTTGGTCAGGAGGATTTGGAAAAACGTTGAAACTCAAATATCCCTCACCCCGCAGAATTTTCAGACATCCCTCACCCCGCAGAATTTTCAGACATCCCTCTCCCCGAAGAAGTTCCAGACATTTCTGTCTCTTTTGAGCTTCCGGTTGCATGTCTAGCAGCATGACTTCCAAAGCTGTACGACCATGCGCATTCTTCACCTTCTGATTGACCTTACATTCTAATAATACCTTGATCATCTGCTTAAGAATACATCGATCGTAGCAATAATTAATTAACAAAATATTATATCGATAACCCAAAAGAAATATATTAAAGCAAATAACATTGTACCTCTTCACTGTACATTAAAGATGCTATGTGCAACGCAGTGTTGCTGTTACTATCCTGCTTGTCCAGGAGGTGTTCTTTCGAAGTTTCGCAGTAGAGATGGGTTCTCCTAAGCCACCGTGCAAGGATTCGAAGGGAGTCTAATCTGGCATATTTTGCTGCAATGTGTAAAGCAGTCTCATTTTGAATCGTCACATCCTCAATACATTCAGCGCAATCTATAAGAAACTTAGCCAAAAGGTCAAGGTATCCTACTAATACGACAACATGCAAAGGAGTGTAGCCATCTTTCCCTTTGACGCGAACAAGTTCTTTATCAACTGCCAGTAGACGAAGCGCCAAGTCCCTGCGCCCATTAGACAAGGCAAGATGCATGGGGCTAGCGATGTCATGGTTCAGCTTCCTACCAAATGATGGCCTTAAGTACATGACCGCCATCGCGAAATCAGCGTGGCCTTCAGCTGCAGCTATGTGTAGTGGAGTATCGATAAACTCTGCGTCGTCAAAACGCCTTAAAGCATCTGGATCTTTCCGAATGCACTCATACAATGCACTAGTATCTCCTGATTTAGCAAGCTCCCTCACCCAATCCATGGCCAAAGGCCTCACTGACAAATGATAACGGTTCCTACTGAAAGGGATAGCTTTTAGAAGTTAAAGAAAGAAACGAGTGATGAAAAAATGGGAAGTACGGCTTCACTTATAGCCATTTGTAGTTGTTTGAAGTCCTTCCATAGTTATTATGGCAATTACTTCTTCACCCAAATTTTTTAATGGGAGGAGACTTGGCACCAAGTAAACGGGATATTAAAGACGTCGGCCAACAAAAGGATAAACATGAAATCCAGAATTTATGTAAGCTACTCTTAAAATAAAACATAAAATTCAAATCTTAACTGCTTTTTTGAAAAGGTTAAATTATGTCAAAATCTTATGCCAAACTTTGAAATTTAATCTGTCTATTATAATTTATATAAATTTAATCTTTATATTATTTTAATTTAATAATTCTAGCCTAATTACTAAATCCGATCAATTTTTTTCTATTAAATATGCTGACATTGCATTTGATCAATTAACATATCCATTGACTAAAATAACGAACCATTTTGATTGGATGAGATTTTAAGAGATGCTGACGTGTATTAAAACTATGCCATGCGACATTAATTTTAATCCATATCAGATTATTTCAATTAATTTTTTTTCAAAAATAAATAAATAATTTTAATATCTTGAAATATTTATTTTTATTACAACTAAATTAAAACTATCCCCAAGGATAATACGGAGGCACGTGGCAAGACATGTAACATGTCCTTTGCTTGTTATGTGTAATTATTTTGTTTTTATTTTTTGACATTTAAATTTTTTTTTTCAAAAGAATCTCCTAAAGAATTACTATGTTGACATGTGGCAAGCACTTTACTCACCATGTGACGTTTAATTTAAAAAAAAAAACTTTTCCATAATGAAATTTATTTTTTCGATTAATTAAAATTAATTATAATTACAATTATAATAAAAATAAAAAAATAAAAAATATAATGAGAGGCGAGTAGAGGGAAAAGGAAGTGTTGGCAATTAAAAAAACCAAAATTTAAAAAAAATAAAATAAAATCAAACACCAAACACCTATAACATAACATACTATTAAAACTATCCCTTTAAGGAATAGTATGGTGACATTTGGCAAGCCATTTGCTTAACACGTGTCATTTTTTTGTTTTTAATTTTAAGAAAAAAAATTTAATCTTTTAGGGAGTTAATATGTTGATATATGACGAGCATTTTGCTTAGTCATCTATAACATCTATAACATACTATTAAAACTATAACATACTATTAAAACTAGCCCTTAAATGATCATATGATTACATGTGGCAAGACATGTGACATGTCATCCTTTGATTTTTAATTTTTAAAATTCTTTCAAAATCTCTTTTTCAAAAAATCTCCTAATGAGTTATTATGTTGACATGTGACAAAGCTCTTTGCTTGTCAAGTGATAATTAAAATCTTTTAAAAAAATTTTTTTCAAAAAAGTATTTTTATTTTTATTTGATTAATTAAAATTATACTAAAAATGGAAAATAAAAAATATAATAGGAGGTGAGTAGAGAGAGGAAGAAATATTGTTGACAATTAAAATGCACTCCAATTTTTTTTGGAGAAAAAAAAAAAGAAATCAAACGAAACTTAACACTTAGAAAATAAAAAAATATCCCTAAAAATATATTCAACTTATTAATAAAAAAGGCAACTTAAAAAATCTTAAAAAGTGAACAACATATTAAATCTCAATCACATATTAAAGCATAAAAAAATGCAATAAAAACGATAATCAATTAAAAAAATAACTTACAAAAAAATCAACTAAAGGATATAATTAATATAGCATACTGTTAAAACTATCCTTCAAGGAATAGTATGGTGACATGTGGTAAGGCATATGGCTGCTTGCGACATGTCATTGTTTTATTTTTAATTTTTTTATATTGTTTTAAATACCTCTTAAAAAAAAAATTCTCTTAAAGAGTTATTATGTTAATGTGTGACAAGCTCTTTATTTGCCATGTGGCAACATGTCATTGTTTTATTTTTAATTTTTTTATATTGTTTTAAATACCTTTTAAAAAAAAAATTCTCTTAAAGAGTTATTATGTTAATGTGTAACAAGCTCTTTATTTGCCATGTGGCATTTAATATTTTTTAAAAAAATTTTTCAAAATAATTTTTTTATTTGATTAATAATAATAATAATAATAATAATAATAATAATAATAAAAGGTGAGTAGATGAAGGAAGAAGTTTTGTTGGTAACTAAAAAGCCCTCTAAATTTTTTTGTCAAAAAAAAAAAAACCTAACAAATAAAAGAAATTTTTAAAAATATATTAATCTAATCAATGAAATATTCAACCAAAAAAATCCTAAGACAAATCAATATATTAAATCTCAATCACATATGTTAACATAAAAAATACAATAAAAAATAATTAATTGAAAAATAACCTACACAAAAATCCATTAAAAAAACACATAGAAAAAATAACAATAAATTCTTTAAAAAATTGCCAAATCTAGAATTAAATTTTTTTTCAATAAATATCTCTTGAAAAGGAAAAAATAAAATTAAAGAATTAAAGACTTTAGATTTGAGATTTGAGATTTTTTTAATAAATTTAAAAAAAAAATTAACAACCAATCCTCATAAACAACCACATAATAAACTTTAGATATAAGATTTTCAAACTCTTTTTTTCTTTAAATCTCAAAAATCCAAAAACTAAAAAATTAAAATTTTTAAAATTATCTTTATAAAAAAAATTCAAACAAAGCAAGGGTAGCATTCAAGTTGTAATTTAAAGTTATCATAAAAATCAATTTAAAATAATAGAAAATAGAATCTTCACTACAACAGTTTAGATTTTTAATGACTTTTTTTTTAATGTTTAGCAACGTTTATAAATACTACTAAAAGATTTGCGACATTTGCGAAAAATATCAGTCAAAGTGTCGGTAATACACGTGTCGCGAAAAATAGCGATGTTTTTCTAAAAACATTTCTAACTTAGCAGCATTTTTAAGCACAAATGCCACTAAATTTAGCGGTGTTTGTGCTTAAAAATGCCACTAAATTATGAATTTAGTGGCATTTGTATAAAAAATACCGCTAAATTTAGCGGTGTTTGTGTTTAAAAATGTCACTAAATTTAACAATGTTTTCTAATACAAACGTCACTAAATTCAGTATTTAATGACATTTTCAAATACAAACGCCGCTAAATTGAAAATTTTACTTTTTTTAATTTTCTTTTAATATTTATTGTTATAATTAAATAAAAATTGTTAAAAGAAATAAATTTAAATTTAAATTCATAAACTGAATATTATAAACATTTAAATATCTAAATACATAATTTGTTCCAATATAAATATAACACTAAGTTTAATATATGTAATAACATTCCACTTTGCATTTGTTTTCCTCTTACCTATCAACAAACTCCATAGAATGAGTCGCACTTGCTTTGAGTGGAGCCTACAATGCCCATTCCTCCTCTTGGCTTTCATTGCTAAAGAGAACATTTCTCCAGGAACCTCAAAATGTGCTTTTAGAAATGCATCATAGTACATTTCATTTATCTTCTCCATGACTTCATGTTCCATCATGATTGAAAAATGTCATTGGGTAAGCTATAAAAAGTACCATAAAATTTGTAATGCAAGATAAAATCAGGGAAGATATAAAAGATCTCATTGTTACATATATGTAGAAATAATACAAAAATAGGTTTAACCAAAGCAACAAACTAAGATATATTTTTTAGCCAATGATCAAGATAAATGCATAAGGCAAAAGGATGTACACTCCCTCTCTAAGTGCATTTCATGAAAATGCCTTTCAAAATCATAGTTATTCCATTTTGCATATTTCATTATGAAATTGCTAGACTTGAAATGCAATGCCATATAATTTGAGGGAAAGAGAATATAAAAAAGGCTAATAGATAGATTTTCAATCAAGTTCATGTTTGATTGTATTGGAAAAAGATAAAGATTATTTGATTCCATGAAGTTTATAAGATAAACCATTTCAAATCATATTTTCAGCTCTTAAATAAATTCATAGAAATAAATGGATTCAAATGCTTCAAGAAGGAAATAAACCAATCATTTAAAATAAAATGACCATACAACAGAGTTTCAAAAGGAAAATGCAAATTGTGTAATGGATAAATCAACTATACTACACCTTGAATTGATGGTACAGTTGTGTCTATAGAGATCAATGCTTTTTTAAACTTAGCAGTAGCAAAAACTGTATCAGGGAATCATCAAAAAATAATTGGAAAAAGTATAGAAGACAATCCAAGTTGATAGGTCTACAGTATGCACTTTTCAACTTTAAAGGCTTTATAATAAAATCCAGAATAGCAAATGGAAGCATCACAATGGTTTTCACCCAAAATGCAAAATGCTAATTTAAATGACTGCCAACATGTTAGCTAGTTATCTCAGATTAACGTATGGGCAAAGCATTAAGCATCATAAAATATGGATAGTAGCAAAACTTGGCATATTTGAAATAAGGATGGTTCTTTTATTCTTAAACTAGGAAGGAATTAAGGAGATCAGTTCAACAAATACCTATAAAAAACTAGAAAAGAAAACTTACTATTCCACCATAAACACATCCGAGTGCATATCCAATTGGCATACACATGTAAAATATTACTAGCCACGCTGATTTATGATACAAAAGTAAAAGAAAAATAAGATTCAAGGGGATGACATCACCAAAAAAGTTTCTAATTGAAAGAGATATAAACACAAAGGGCATGTTTAGGGACGACAATCAAACCTGTCCCCGACGGGTTCCAGCCCAACCCGATCCTATAGGGTCAGGTTTTTTTATTTAATTTCGGGTTTAGGGTCGGGTCAGGTATAGTTAGGGAATGTCGGGGTCGGGTATGCATAAAACCCGACCCGACATTATATAAAAAATTATTTTTTAATTAATTATTTAATTATATATAATTATATAATTATATTTTTAAATATTTATATTTTAAAAATAATATTTTATATTTTAAAAAATAATATTTTATTAATTTCGGGTCGAGTTGATTTGGGTACGGTTTATGTGGTATCGGGTCGGGTTCGGGTATAAAAAAATCGGGTATGGTCAAATTCGGGTTTAATAAACCATAAAATCGGGTCGAGTTCGGGGCGTCCCTAGGCATGTTGCATAAAACTCCTAAACTCAATAGTTAATAGCAATATGACTGATCTATAGGTGTGATAAAATAATTAAATTGAACCTTGAAACTAAATTTTTTATAATGGGTCATACTAAAACAATTAACTTAATTTTTTCTTTCGACATTAAAAGCTTAAAGCCAAAACATCATTTTTTTACCTTTTTCAATTATACCAATTTATGGAAAAAGCCTAAATTCCTTGACTTTTGGGATAAAATAACCCTTTGGCCACATTTAGATCTTCATTCAAATAAATAAGTAAGAGTATCTTAACACATAACAACTTTAGGATACATTAAATAAAAGAGTATCTTAACACATAACAACTTTAGGATACATTAAATAAAAAAAATTCTTCTACAGATAAGTTATCAACATTGCAAGTGCAGTAGCCCAAACTTTAAAGCAATTAGTTCAAAATAAATCCAACTCCAACTCTAAACACACACATATAATTGAAATATAATACATCTCAAAACCAGTATATTAAATCTGAATTTTCATTTTTGTTCCTTTAAATTTTCTTCAAAACAAGTTGAAATTTCAAAGATCTATAAAAAACCATCATGAGAAATCAATTTAAAAAGCAAAAGTTGAAGAAAAATCACACAATGTAATGAAAGAACACAAACTATAACTAACAACTAACTTGTAACCAAACATGAATTAATTGATTTACATCCAATTGATGCGAAAACAAGTGATCATAAATTGGAATTGAAAAAATCAATTAAGGAACCAAAAGGAAAACTAATTTGAAGAACACAAAATGCAAGAAAATACAAGAATTAACTAGAAACAACTAAAATATAAAGTGAAATTTAACCAAAACTCACTGAGTTGATGAAAGAAAAAATTAGGTCTAGAAGCTTATAATGAAAATGAACTTGAAATGAGCTAAGAACCAATTCATCAATCAAGTTTGCTACAAAATTCAACAAGAAAATGTCAGCAAAAAAGAAAAAAATTAGCTTAATGAACTAGCAACTCAAGTGATACTCAAAACAAAGAAAAACAGAGCATTAATGATTAAATCTATCCAAACACCAAATTAATTCATGAAAATAAATGCAATAAATTAAAAAATAGCAAGTAAGCATGTAAAACTAAGAATTTAAAGTATGATAGAATCAAATCGAACACCTAGAAGGAGAGAGGATCATCATTCATCAAGTTTTCATGCATGGATTGTTTCTGCCTTCTGGATTCACCTTTAACTTTGAAGAATTAATTGTACTTGTATAAATGGAATTTGAGGCTAAATTTTTAATGGATTATAGCATTATGAACTAGAAATCTAGAAAAAAAAATTTGAACTAAATCAAGCTAAAATTCATAGAGTTTTGATCAAAAGGCTGAAGATAGGTCAGATGCATGGTTTTGAAACCAGATTTGAGTTCAACGTGAATTTTATAGAATTTGAAAAGGAAATCATGAGAATTTGTAAATTTCATTATGAAAATCTTAAAGAACATTAAAAAAGAGTGTAGGAAACCTAAAATTGTAACAAGATTCAATTAAGAAAACTAAAATTAAAAGTTGTTTGTTTGGAGAGAAAATGAAAATGACAGCAGATCAGGTTCTGACAAGAAAAATAAAAGGTAAAATATCAGTGTTATGCTCTAAGTTGCACCAGCAAAGATACATGGAAAGCATAAACTTCTTATAAGACAGCTGATTGACATAAAATGTGGCTTAAACAAGGTTCAAGAAAGTACGAAACAAGCCTCAACAAATATCATACAGACATTCATGTGAAACCATGGCTTCCCATCCCAAAACCCTTTAGCTTCTAACAAATTATTAAAAGAAGTTTTTTTTTTTTTGTAATAGAATACAAGATTCAAGTACATTATCATGAATTTATACTTTTATACAATTTTCTTGATTCGAAAGATCTTCTTTCAAAACAATTACGTTTCTCACTTTCTCTCACACTCACCTAAGCACATTTAACACATTAAATCAAACAACAGGCAGAGATTTCTAAATTAAACTAGCAGAGATAAAGTAAGAATCAAAGCAAAGCATTCACATATAGATATGAGATAAGTGAAAGCAACCTTGTGCTGGAGTACTTGAAAAGCTTTTCAATGACTAAAAAGACTAGAAGAGCTATCTAAGCATTCCAAAGAGTGGAAAGCTCATGAGCTTTCTTGAAAAGTCATCATCTCCTTTTTGAGAAAGTCACCTACCTCATTGCTACGTTTTCAATCTTCTTTATTTGAATTTTTTTTTCTCGCCATTCTCTTCCAAGAAAAAAACTGGGGAAAGAAAGGAAATTACAGAGAAGAAAGAGAGGGTTTCAATTTTGAAGAAAAATTTTAGCCGCGCTATTTCGTTACGATAGCAGCGTTTACTTTTTTAAAAATGTCACTATTTGCAAAAAAGATTATTGAAGGCATTTCAAGCAAAAAACACCTTCAATAATCCTCACCCCAATTTTGATGAGGAGATTATTGAAGGCATTTTTAAAAAATACCTTCAATAATCTCATCCAATTTTTTAAAACAGATTATTAAAGGTATTTTTTGACCAAAAACGCTTTCAATAATCCTCTCTAATTTTTTAAAGAAAAAAATACCTTCAATAATCCCCTTCATTTTTTATGAAGAGATTATTGAAGGTATTTTTGACAAAAAACCCTTCAATAATTTTTTTTAATTTTTTATAAGAGATTATTAAAGGTATTTTTTACAAAAAAAAAACATTCAATAATCCATTCTAATTTTTTATAAGAGATTATTGAAGGCGTTTTAAGCAAAAAACACCTTGAATAATTTGCTCATAAAAATATATATGATTATTAAAGGCATTTTCTGCTAGAAACACCTTCAATAATTTTGCTAAAAAATTGTAAAAGATTATTAAAGGTGTTTTTTGTTAAAAATACATTCAATAAATATTTTTGTCAATAAATTTACCAAAAATGGAGTAGTATTGTCGATTAGAGCATACGATTGTTAATCATAAGGTTGTAGGTTTGATCTCTCTCTTGAAAAATTTAAAAAATTCTAAAGAGAGGGATCAAACCTACGATCTTATGATTAACAATCGTATGCTATACCTTTAATGCTATTTCATTTTTGACAAATTTATTGACAAGGAGATTTAATAATCTTCTACAATTTTTTTAGAGAGATTATTAAAGGCATTTCTAGCAGAAACGCCTTCAATAATCCCCTATCCATTTTTTATGAGAAAATTATTCAAGGCATTTTCTGTAAAAAAAAAAATACCTTCAATAATCACTTTAATTTTTTAGAAAGGATTATTCAAGGCGTTTTAGTCAATAAACGCCACTAATTTTTGTCTTTAATGGCATTTATAAATATAAATGTCACTATTTGAATATTTAGTGGCATTTTGATAAAAAAATGCCTTAAGTTT